AGTGCCAGTTGATTTATTGGGGGTAATTAGGGCTCAATAGAAAATTATATTTTAGCGTGTTTTAAACGATTTTTTTTCATGGCAATCTAGCATGTGTATTAGCCAAACATAGCGTCCGTCATGCATATGACATTATATTTATACGTTATTTTTTTCCCCCAAGTCGACTATTTTGTCTTGTGCTTAGACTTAGTTTTTTTTTTCTTATTTAGTTGATTTGCTAGAGTGTGTTCCATTTAGTACGTTAAACTCATGCGCCCCCCCCCCCCCCCATCCCGTCTTATCCGTCTTATCCGTGGACCTCCGAGTCAGCCTGCTCGGGTGACACCCGGCTCTTATTCTTTTGGCTGTTGACGGGCAATGTTCCCTTTAAGGTTTGCTGGTTCGTGTGCAAAATCATACAGTTGTGGGCAAAGTTTAGCAGCATCAATTTTTTTGTGTGCAAAATTTTACAGCCCACAAACATAAACTACATGGAAATTTGCTGCGCGGATACTCAAAACTGCTGCGCGGCGTCTGTGAGATAGCTGCGCGGCCGTGCAGCTTAAAGGGAACATTGATTGACGGGTCGTGCATGATTAAGGATGTCCGCAAAGAAGGCGGAGGGGGGGGGGGTGTTCAAAATTGGGAAATGCGGACAAGGGGGTAAAGGGTATTGCAGACGTCCGTAATCTACTTTTTCTTTTGTTATACGATGGTATAATCCCACTGCGTGCAGTACAAAACTGCTGCGCGGCGTCTGTGAGATAGCTGCGCGGGCGTGCAGCTTAAAGGGAACATTGATTGACGGGTCGTGCATGATTAAGGATGTCCGCAAAGAAGGCGGAGGGGGGGGGGTGTTCAAAATTGGGAAATGCGGACAAGGGGGTAAAGGGTATTGCAGACGTCCGTAATCTACTTTTTCTTTTGTTATACGATGGTATAATCCCACTGCGTGCAGTTCTCTATGGGTAATCTACTTGCGAAATTTGGAGAAAAAAAAAATTAGGATCATAAACCACCAAGAGTTAAGTAAAAATTTCATAAGGGAGATATCTATAAAAATTTGGTTGCTATTTATCAACAAATTAAACAATGCGAGATTTTTCCTCTGGTTAATAGAGTGATCTATTTTAGGGGTCACCCATTTATTACGTACACAAAAAGGCAAACTATTAGTTCAACCCCTTCGCCTTGATGCATTCGTCCTTTTGGGGCACTCGCCCCTTTACACGTATGTACAATGAGCTCTCACCCCCGTCAACAAAAAAAAAAAAAATTTAAAAATTAATGATTAAAAAATGAAAATACAATTATTATTCATAAACTGTTATGACGTGAAATACAATTAAATGAAGTTAAGTCCGTACATTTATTTAAAAATAACGAACAATGGCCAAAAAAATCGATTTTCGGCACCTCGGACGAACACATGGTACATATAGACGCGCAGTACTAAAGCAAATAAATAAATGAAGGGACTGCTTTCAAGCTATGTAAAAGAATGAAATAGTGAAACGAGGTATGTGGAAGCTTGAAAAAAGGTAGCAGGACAAAAAACAAGGACGTTTCGGCATAAAGCCTTCATCAGCCAACAATAGAAATGAAAATACAACAAAAAGTACTAAAGCACACGTAGTTATAAAGTGAAACAAGATAAAAACTTCCGGTTTCTAAATTAAAATCACGCAGAAATCACGCCATAACCGGAAGTCTCGAGGGGTGCGAAATTTCATTGCTATTTTTAACTAAAAATAAGAGAGGTGTGTCGCTATGCACCGGGACGCATTTGGACGCATCAGGAGGAACCCCCCCCCCCCCCCCCCCCCCCC